TTTAGAATGAAATATGTATATTAATTTGTATATTATGTATGAATTTGTTCGTTAGGTTATGGCATTTAATTTTTAAAACCAGACTTCTAAAATTAAAATTGCTTCAAATATTACTCTACTATTATTATTATTACTATTATTATTGTTATTATTATTACAACTGTTAATTTATTTAACGCGATTTTTTTTCGATTTTTCGATTAAATCGATTTTTGTATAATCGATTAACATCCCTAGAATGGCATCAAATGAATGGCCGGAATTATAGAATTTAGTGGTAAAGTTAGAAAAAGACTTGCTTCTGTATATGAAAAAGTACACAGAGAAAAAATAACCATGAAAAGAAGTTTTAGGAGGAGTATTATTTATGAATTTTGAACATGCTTGTACAATCGCCATTCACTTTACAGAAAAGAAGCAATTACTCCACCACCAGAAGCTAAATTGATAACAATTCCAAAACAAACTATTACAGCAGGCCATGACGACAATGAATATAAAGATGATGATGATGATGATGATGATGAATATTACAACTTGAGTAAAGCATTTGGATGGGATAATGAGTCACCTAGAAGAGAAATCAATGTTGAATCCTTTAAAATTCATTCAAGACCAGTGACTAATGGAGAATATCTTGTGTTTATGAGAGAAACAGTTAACAAAGAATACTCAGGATCATGGATTCCAATTGATCCACAATTATTTGAATATAAAGTTGGAGCAGTTAAAATGAATGTAGCACTGAATTTGCCGGTTATGCTAAGTCAAGAACAAGCATGTAAATACACAGGATGGAAAAAAATGAGACTACCAACAAAAAAAGAATTAGTCGCATTCTATACAATATATAAGTCACCATCATCACTAATGGATTTATCAAACACGGATTCAAAAATTGGTGTCCAGCTGATGTGCCAAGCAATAGTGATCCAATTCAAGCATTAGGATCTGGATGGGAATGGAGATCAAGTGAATTTGATAAATATCCAGGGTTTAAATAAGTAAACTTTACCCTAGTTATTCAAAAGATTTCTTTGATTGTAAACATGCTATTATTTTGGTGGCTCATGGCAAGCAAAATATATATTTTACATTTTATATATTATCAGAACTTTGCACAAGTCTGAAAAATACTATATAAAATATATAGACCTTGGCTCGTTTCTGGCCTCTGTGTGTGTATCGGCTTGTGCATGAGGAGCATTATATATAATATATATTTATTACTTTTATTATTTTTTTTTTTTCAAAAATAATAGGGCAACACATCTTAGATTAACAAAAAGTACATTTAGAAATTGGTATCAAAGGGGTTACCCGTATGTATTTTGCACAGTAAGATTATGTCAAATATAAATATATCTATCTTTATTATTTCTATCGATTTTTTGGAAATATATAATAAACAAATCGTATTTACTGATGATTTATCTATTATTTCTATTATTACAAATTAATATTACAAATTCTAAATAAATAATGTTTCATGTAAAAGTCATTGTTATTATTACTACTAATCTTTATATATTATTATTATAACTACTAATTGTTCTGGAAGCATAAAAAATGCTATTATCTACATTATTATTAATTGATTTAATTGATGATGATTTTCTTTTGAAAGGATTGAATGAAAAAGTTTTAGGATTATCAACTTGATCTTTTGACAATGATTGTTCTTCTGATAAGTAGATTTTTGTCCTATCATTATTAATATTTCTATTTATTTCACCTTCACTAATATTAATATTAACATTACTATTAACATTCCCACTTGGGTTACTAACATTACTGTTTATATTACCATCAGATTTTTCGATAAATGTGTTGTCAACTTCAGTTTCAACCATTTCTTTAAATACTGAAAAGGTAGTCGGAGTTCTTTTCAATATAACATCTGAAATGGTTGTAGCAGAATTACTAACATTTATTGATGATTGTCTTGTATCGTTCGCAATATTATTGTTGCTATTGTTATTATTATTGTTATTATTATTATTATTGTTATTATTATTATTATTATTATTATTACTATTATTATTATTATTATTATTATTATTATTATTATTGTTATTATTATTATTATTATTATTATTACTACTACTACTACTACTAAAGTTTGTTTGATCAATTGTTAAATCTTCGTTATGTTCGTTGTGGTTATTTTTTTTTTCAACTATAATACTTATTATTTCATCTTTATCTTGAACCTTTTCGTCATCTTTAATTTCTTGTTCATCATTTGAAAATGTACTTGTATTATTATTACAATTACAATTACCATTACAATTACAATTGTTATTATCATCATCATTTACCGATCTTTTAGTAGTAGCATTAGAAGATGTCGGTTTACTTTTTTTCTTTTTATTTTTTTTTCTATTAAAAATATTCTCCCATTTTACACAGCAACATAAAAAAGCTATTAAGATAAATCCAAGTACCACTAGTACGATTGGTATTAACCACGGTTTTAAGACTTCTTTTGTAATGTCTATCGGATCTGTTAATTGTAATGTTGATTGCGGAGTTGTTGATGTTAATGAAGAGGTTGTCGATGGTGTTTGTGATATTATTGTTGAAGAAGATAATGTTGATAATGTACTAGTATCAATGCTAAATTATATATACATGTGTGTATGTAAACAAATATATATTAACATTTTAATTATCTAATGGTGATAACGATTATTATGATACTTACAATCTTTTAATTTTATATGGAGACATCTTTAGTGTCTTGGTTGTAAGTATTGGAATAATGAATGAATTAGATTAGTGAAGGGTGAAATTAGAATTAGCGAATGAATGAACTAATTAATAGTAATGGCGATAGTATTTTTAATTGTTGCAATAATAGCAACAAAATTGAGATATAAATCATTTTTTATTGAAGATCTCTCTATTCATCTACAAATTTATATAAATTAATGCGTAACATGCATATTTTGAAACCAAATTTGTTTTGCATGTGGAAAATATGGAAACAAAAGACCTTTATTTGGGTCACCATTACTGCGATTTGTAAAAATTTTTTTTTTTGATCTATTGATCAAAAAGTTAATCTTTTTTAAAACCTTTTTTATGTTAATAAACCGGGTTATCACCATTATTGGATTTTTTTTTTACAAATAATAATAATTGCAAAAATTTGAACGAAAATTATGTTATTTACTGTGACACCAAAATATTTGTATAAAAGAAGCAAATTTTTCAAATAATCAAATCATCAAATTAAACTATGGAATCATTAAAACCCCAAACACAAAATTCATCATCTAAAATTAATTCCACGCCATTATCCTCGTCTTATAAAACGACAAAGCGGTCGATGATATTACATCCTCCAACTTTAATAACAGTCAAAAATCCAAAAACACAAACACCCTTTATCTTGGAATACTCGATTCACAAAGGATCTACAAGGTTCACAAGAGAATTGAAAAATATTTTCCCCAAAAATATTAAGGAAATAGAAAATTGCTTAATTTTACCTATATTTTTAAAATGTCACAATGATTTAGTTGGCGTTGGAAGTCAAATTGACATGGAAAAAGATGAGAGATTGGAACATGTATATTTTTTAAAAAATTAAAATTCTTGTATTAATTTAATTTTTCCTGCATCTAATGATTAATTAATTATTTCCATTTATTGTTAATTAATAAGTTTGTCGAATGGGGAAAATTTGTTTGCAAAAGATTAAGAGAAAGAGGTTATTGGGCAGATATAACAGATCCTGCGTCTGGCTATCCCGTAAGTAGAATCAAAATGAAAAAAAAGGAATTCATATATTTATCAATATCAAAAGAATAACAATTTATTTTTTTATAAAGATACTTTCTGAAGCTGGTGTTTCTACATATCCTGATGTACAAGGATCATATGAATTATTAAAATATGATGTCTTGAATGCGGGTTGTTGTAGTATTTTATTACATCCAAATTGGGGAAGTAAGGTTTATCCTGGAACTTTATTCACAGACTCTAATCAGGATGATATTATAGAAGTAGTCAATCTATCTTTAGAAAAAAATATTTTATAAAATATTTTATAATAAAAAAAGTTTATCCAAGCGCTATGATGACAATTATGTGTAGTATTGTTGAACTATACTTTATACTTTAGGGTCGTTTAACAATTTAGATGTTGAATGAGATTAACCTATTTATTATCCACAAGTATAACTATAAAAATTATATACATATTATATATATTGCCTTCAAGGAAAGCATCAAGCGAAACTAGTTGCTCGATTGTTAAAAATTATGCCCACCGATCTATTCACCAGGTTAGAACCAAAATTCTTCGTCCCAAATATCTAAACGAACTCGATTATACTCTCTCTTAATTTGAGGACCAAGTGGGCGAATAAGGTTCTCAAACTTTCAACCAATTGCTTGAAGATAATTTGGGAATTTCCCAAATACAAAAAATAAAGAGTGAAAAAATGCACAACTATATTTTTAATTGATCCCTGGAATAGTATATAACCTATACAATGTCATATTTATGCTTGTTATTTTGATATAAAAATAAATATACAAAAATTTTATACAATAAATTTCAAAACCCCCCCCTCCCGCCTAGTTTACAATAATATTATTCTATGATTTCATGGCACAAATCTCTAGCAGCTATGGGATATTCAAGTTTTAATAAATCATCTGGTCGTTCAATAAACTGAATTAGCATACCCATTTCAATATGCCATTTAATATGACAATGTAACGGCCAAACACCAGGATTGGTCGCTTTAAATCTTATTATAGAATACTTGAACGGAGGTACACTTGCAGTATCACGGATTACTGGATTTTCAAAATTGTAACGTGTGGTTTCATTAAAAGTTGGTTTTCCATCTAAAAGATATCCTTCAGTTATAATCCCAAATTTATGACCATGAAGATGAAAAGGATGTTGAGCCCCGTTGTCATTTACGATTATTACATCTATAGTTCCATTCGAAGTAATCAGGTATTTATTCTCCGATTTTGCCAATTCTCGAGGATTTATTCCATCAAAAAGTTTTTGAACAGTGGGCGAATTATAATGTGGAATAAATGAAACATTGTTGACGTATACTAGACTGACATTTTGTAGATTAGCGCCAAATTTAAATTGGAATTTAAAAAGACTTGTTGCAGGTCCTGTAAAAGACGGAAGATCCTTTTCAACCTCTTTTGATGGTCTTAATTTTTCCCAAGATGGATCTTCACATTGAAGAAAATCATTGTCATAAGGTAACATTTCGCTGACTGGCATTTTCAGTAGAGCCTTATCATACTGAATTAATGCTGTGACATTATTATTGATTGGTGAATCGAAATTAATTGTTTGGTTGTTTGGAGTTACGAGACATTCTGCTGCGCGATTTGCACGCATCCAATAAGTGTCAACTCTTTGATCTGCTTTGACGATAACAGAATATCGTTGAGCAACATTTAAGTAAAGATGGCTGACATAATTTGGTTCGACATAAGTTCCTTCAACTTCAATTATTTTAAGAAGATGGCCGTCAATAGAAAAGGTGAATGGGGATTCAGCACTATATTTAATCCAAACAAATAAAATAAATAAATAAATAAATAATTTTTTTTTCAAAAAAGAAAAATCTTATAAAACAACACATAACTTACCTAAAATTAATGATACGAAGTCGATAAGTTTTACCTTGCTCAAAAATAAATCTAGATATACCATTTTTAGTGTCACAATTTTCTTTTTCTTTTTCTTTTAATTTACTACAGTCTATTTGAGTTGCACCATTTATAAGACCTGCATCAGGTACTGGATTGAAGCCTGTATAATTTGGTTGTAATTTAAGGGTCATCAATTTACCTGATTGAGTATGGAAATGATCGCTGATATTAATGATAAATTCTTCGTCATATTCATTAATATATGGATCCTCGGGGTCGTGGACTATAAAGGCTCCAACCATACCATCTACAGCCTGAGTGGAAAAATGACTATGATACCAAAAAGTCCCCTTTTGTCTATCAGTTTCGAATTCATAGGAATAGCTTTTTTCATTTGGAATTGGACATTGCGATATGCCAGGAACGCCATCAAACCAATTAGTTCCCATCTGAAATAGGCCATGCCAATGAATTGTACAGGGAGCTCCAATTGCATTCGTCACATTGACAATAATTTTATCTCCTTTATTTACATGAATCGTTGGACCGGGATATTCGCCATTTATGACTGTCATTTCCCGCATATAACCATCTGGAGCTAACATTTTATTAGCCACATTAAAGTCATATTTACGGATTTGTGTTCCATTGTATTCTAAAGGTTTTTCTGCAATAAATGTTTTTTTAATATTTATGTATCCCGAGGATTCTTTTGAGATTATCACAGCATTTGTAAAAATATCTGCTATCGATGTTAAGATTGTTGTAATTATGAATATTAAATTAATTGTTTTCATTTTTGTCTTTGATTTATTAAAAAACTAGTTGTAAAAAGGTTTTCAACGAAACTAAATAAAAAATCATCTTTTTTAAAAGCATTATTTATATTTCTTTTATATTTATTATCATTATATTAAATCCTATTTAAAGAAAAACCATTAAAATTATCATCTTTATTCATTTCAAATTAAAAAAAGTTTTCTCAAAAGATTACTTAAAAACAATTTAAGAGAGCATTATATTTAGAACGACACCAATCATAATATCTGTGATGACGATCTACGCGTCAGGTCAAAACAGTTTTTGGTCAAAGATGGCTTTAAAACAGGTTTGATCATTTGATTAAAGTTAAAAAATCAAAATTTTGAAAATTACGCAAAGGAAACGTTAATAAGATATTTTATTATATTAAAATTATCATATTAATATTAATTTATTTTCTTAAAAATAATTTAAGAAAGGTGCGAAATCCTATTGGATTTCGATAAAATTTATTAAAAAATTTTGAAATCGGCCTTTTTCCGGTTACACACGTGTAAATTTTAGATTTTGACGATGGATGCCACCGTTTTGTTTTTATTACATTAGAACCTGTCTAAAAGCATATCGTACATAACATAGAATTTTCTCGGTCCGAGTTGGACCATATTAATATGTGTTATAAGCATAATCACGTGTATCAACAAAATTTCTGTGTAAAAAATTGACCAGGCCTTTTTGGGAATAACTAAATATTTAAATATTTAACAATTGCTTAAAATGTAAAAGAATAGATCTTTTTTTATATAAATATGTATGTGTTAATTGATTTTTGAATTTTGTGACATCAAACACATAAATGCAAAACCTGCCGACAGGACCCCGAACAATCTTAGGAGATGGTACATTTCAATTTTGGGTAGAAATGGCCCTCAAAATCGAATATCATTTCTTAATTTTGTAAATTATTTCCAAAAATGGTAATAAAGTGGGTATTTTTTCAAATGTACCATCTCCTAAGATTGTTTGGGGTCCTCTGCCGACAGTATGCTATATACAGGTTCTATTGTATTATTAGATTTCCATGTGGTTGTTAGTTTCTATATCGTTATTTTTATTTTTATTCTATTTCTATTATTAGATATCTATTATTATATATTAAATAAAGAATAAAAATACAAATAACGATAATAATAGAGATATTATAAAATATTCATCAGATGCGCAGTATATTCGTATGTCACACGACTAATTTTGCCCAATGATAGTCTCAGGACATGCTGACAAGGCTTTCGGTTCACTGGACAAAAACCTTCCTAATGCCAACTTCGCACATAGCTTTCTTTTATTCCATATAAATTTTTTGTTTTTTGCATAAATAAAAATTATAAATGATTGACCATGTTTGTTTGTTAAGTGGCCTAGTAAATTACCCCCCAATACAATACTGAGCTCATTTAATGCCAAACAGTGTTTCAGTCATATTTTCGTATAGAATTGTAAAGGTATTTTGGTACAAACCCTTTTATCAGATCAATAAAAGTAATTCGATTTTTTATCTTGATATATTTTTCATTTGGTAATTGTTTTTTCACATATCCAAATATAGTCAAATTTCTCATTTTCATTGTTACAAAAAAACACTTCCAATTGTCGTTATATAAATCTGGTCTTCGTAATTCGAGATTTCAATCCTCTATTAGTTTTTTTAACTTTAAAAGATTTTTTATTGGTTGAAATAAATGATGTTTCATTATTTTCTTCACCATATAATTTAACCATTTCCAAGCCATGGCCAATTAATTAGTTCGATTCCTTTGTTTCATTTTAAAAAGTTTCGCATCTGAACATTTTTTCAAAAATAATCTTGGGAATGATTCAATTCTTATATTATTGGAAGATGCTTGATATTGAAATTTTACCATCAAACCTAATTTTGCTAGTTTGTCTGTTTTTTCATTAAATAAATGCCATTGTGTGCTTTCTTTCAATAAACTGATGTATCCGGTTTCTTTGATAGACCTATTAAATAAATTTACAGTAATACCTATTTCTACATTTACAAGTCAAACGGCTTATATTCGGTTTACGGTGATGATCAACAATTATAATTACTTAATTAGTATTAGTATTAGCATTATTCATTTACTTTAATTAATTATAAACCGAATTTTATCATTATAAGACGAATTTTAAAATTTATAATCATCTTAAGTTCGGTTTATCTTAACAAGGTGATTTTATTAATTATGTTTTTGGTTAACCAATTTTGCATTGTTATAAAGCGAAAACCGATTTATAGTGGTTCGGCTTGACTGTACCTAATTATCCATTCCAATTCAGTAACATTATACTATATTCTATTAATTTAAAATTAATTTCATTGTCGTTAATATATTTATTAATCATATTAAAGGTGTGTTTAGGTATTATGTCGTTATTAATGTTGTTGTAATTTAATACATTTTTATAAAGTGCCTTTTTGCCAATCGTTTTAATTTAATATCTTGTGATGTCGATCTACGCGTCATATTAAAAATGTTATTTTTTTTCCCTAAAAAAAACTTCAAATATGTTTTTAAATGGATTTGATCATTTGATTAAAGCTAAAAGTCAAAACTTTGAAAATTTACGCAAAGAGAATGTTAACAAATTTTCGCTAGAATGTAGAAAAGAAATTGGATGGTTAAGTAATTATTTAGAAAAAATAATTTCTTCATACTCTCATGAACAAATCATCATCAGTCAGGAAGAGAAACAAGAAGTTAAACAAGAACAACCATTAATAGAAAAGAATCAAACAATCTCTGACAACAATATTCTAGATATAAATTACATTAATTATAATGAAACACAGAATAAGAAAAGAAAATTTGTTGAATATATTAAAAAGGTATTATGTTATCATTATATTATTTTATTATTTACATCTATATATGTATGCATATATGATGTATGTATGAATGAATGTGTGTATGTATGTATTATTTTGTTACAGGTTGATGATGACCCCAATAAAAAAAACAAATTTAGTACAAACATAGAAAAACCAATTGAACATGATAAAGAAAATGAGACTTGTTCAAATAACAAAGGATTATCTCAACAAGAAAACAAGATCCTTCCCGTAGAGGAGCAAAATTTAACTTTTGAGGAAAAGAAAAAACCAGAGATAAGAGAAGAAAAACCACGTGTGATTTTACATAATTTATTTGAGGAATTAAGGATGATGTTGAATATGCAACAAGAAAGAACTCGCAAAGATATAGATAAAACTAAAAGTCAAACAATTGAAACCAAAAATGCTCAACATAATGAAGAAAAAATGCACCATTATGAAAACAAAAGAAATCAAATAAACCTAGCAGAAGGAAAACGTATAGTAACGGATATGAATGTGGGGTGTGTGTATAAAATTTTATGGTTTTGTTTTTCTTTTTTGTAAGAAGATTTTTTCTAAAAGTAACAATTACACATAGCTATCCAAATGAAGAGGATCGCCGTGATGCAAGTAAATCACTAGTGTCAATACCAGATTGGTGTCAAAGTCCTGCGCTTAAAGCTTCTTTAAACAAGCAAGCTACTATAGATCCTGAAACTATCTTTGGCAAGGTTCAACCACTTGACATGCCAGGTTTGCTAGGAATCTATAAAGTTATAGTCAAGAAATTCAAACTTGGTTGATATTTAATTTAACTTTAATTTATTTTTTTAACATTTATATTAGCAATTTTTAAAGAACGTGAATATAAATTTAGGCAAAGGACAAGTTCTGGCAATTGGTCAGGTGGTGATGCTTTAACCGAAAATGAGGAATTAGAATATAAAAAACTTATGGGTTACATATCATGATCACCCATATTATTTTTTTATATATATTTATATTTATTGATTTTTAAGGAATTTTTACAGCTTGTAATTGTTAATTTTTTATCTCAAAAATTTGGATATTTTTGCAAGTGCGCATGATCCACAAATAAATTGATGATCAACAAAATCATAAATGGTCTCTTAAAAAAAAAAAAATCAAAATTATCAGTCAGTTTCTTTCTTTTGTTGCATTTTAATTTCTCCATAAATTTTTGATAATTATTTATTTTTTAACTTAATTTATTTTTGGAAGAAAATGGCTGCTCCGAAAGTTGCTACTGTTAAATCTGTCCTTTCTGGCAATACTTTATCCCTTCGTGGTAGGCCATCAAATAACCAGCCACCACCTGAAAGAATCTTGAGCTTGGCTTATATTCAAGCTCCTAGACTTGGTAATCAAAATAAAGAGGATGAGGTAATTCTATACAAATTATATATATCAATGTGTAAAAATTATATTAAAATAATTTTGATAGTCTATTTTTTTTTTTTAAAAAAAAAATCAAATTGATTGAACAATTGATCATTCATTACAAAATCAATGATTTAATTATCATATCAGTCAATTAATTTATTTGTAAAATTTTAATTATAAATGATTATTAATAAAAAATAATGCGCGCATTTTTTATTATTCAAAAAAAAAAAAAAGTATTAAAAAACGATTGTTGATTTTTTTATTATTATATTTTTTTCTATCAATCAACCAGCCATTTGCATTTGAATCTCGCGAGTACCTTCGCCAACTCGTTGTAGGTAAAGAAGTTACATTTCGTATTGATTATAGCACTCCAGATAATAGAGAATTTGGAAGTGCGTTTTTGGGTGAAGATAATATTACTCACTTGATCGTGCAAGAGGGATGGGCAAAAGTTCGTGAGGATAGTCGTAAAAATAAAGATGAAAGCAGAGGTAACGAGATCGAGAAACTCTTAAAGTTGGAACAAGATGCTCAATCTGCTGAAAAAGGCATATGGAAAAATAGTGAGCCTGTAAGATGATTATTATTATGGTTGCCATTGTTGTTAAAATTATTGATTATTGATTATTGATTATTTCATTGTTATATAATTCATTGTCACATGATTATTTAATTCATTAAAAAAGTACTTTCGTAATGTCAATTATACTTTATCTGAGAACCCTCGTGAATATCTTAACAGATATAAGGGTTGTCCGGTTGATGGTAAATTCTAAAATTTAATTAAAATTAATATATATATTACTATTAATAGTTTATTATTTTACAGTTTATTGAAAAATAATTTGTTTTTCATCCCGAATAAAAAGGGATTATTGAACAAGTACGTGATGGATCAAGTCTTCGAGTTCTTTGTATGCCACCATCACCAGCTCCACAACAATATCTCAACATCAATATATCGGGTATAAAAGCACCTATTGTTAGAAAAGATGGTACTGATGTTGAGCCACTTGTAGAACCATATGGCGAAGAAGCGAAATTTTTTGTAGAATCCAGATTACTACAAAGAAGCGTAAAGGTAATATTGGAAGGCCTCTCCAATAACAATCAAACTTTTGTTGCCACTATTATACACCCGGCTGGCAATATTGCTGAAGCTTTAGTTTCAGTTGGTTTGGCAAAAGTTGTTGATTGGAGTATTGCATTTGTGACAGATGGACCCACTAAATTAAGAGCAGCCGAAAAGTTTGTATATAATGTTTATAACATAATCCATTAATATGCTAATGTACATTTTTAATCATTCATTGCTTGATTTAATTGTTATTGATTGAAAATTCCTTGTTATTAATATTAAAAAGTGTCGCCAAAGAAAAACATTTGCGTATATGGCGTGATCATGTAGCTAAAGTGAAAGCAGTTGGTGATGATTATCAATTTGAAGGAACAGTAAGTGATTGTAAATCTAATTAGTTCTTTTATTGCAATAGCAATGACAATTGTAATTATACTATTTAAAAATCCGTGTCTTTTATACTTTTTAAGGTGACTCGTGTAATTTCTGGCGATACAATCTTTGTAAGGAATAATCGTACTGGTGTTGAAAAAAAACTACAGTTATCTAGCATAAAACAACCAAAGTTAATAAAAACAATTTTTTTTTAGTAGTAAATTTTATTTTAGCGAATAATTAAATTTATTTGTGATATTTATTTTTCAACAGACCAAAAGATACTAAATTTCCAGAATATAATTTTGAAGCAAAGGAATTTTTACGAAAAAAATTAATTGGAAAAACTGTAAGATCAACGATCAATACTACTCACTATTATTATTACTATTCAAACCAACGTTTTTATTTGGACATGATATTTCTATTCTAATAATATAGGTTCGTGTTAACGTTGATTATCAAAAACCTGCTGTCGATAATTTTGAGTCTAGGGAATGTGCTACAATAAAACTTGGAGATTTGTAAGTGTCAAATCAATCATTTTATACATACAAACATACATCAATATCTATATTTGATTTAAAATAAGTTAATTAAACTTGATGTTATATCCTTTTAGCAATCCAGCCGAAGCTTTACTAGAACAAGGTTTGGCTCATATAATTTTTCATAAGAGAGATGATCAAGATCGTTCTAGCTGCTATGATCAGCTCTTAATTGCAGAAAAAAAGTACGTTGAAAAAATCAAATATAATAATGATGATACAACAATAACAATAGCTACAATAAAATAATAATAATAATAAATTTTGAATTACAGGGCTCAAGCTAACACTAAAGGTATACACAGTAATAAAGATCCACCAGTATATAGAATTGTTGATGCTTCAGAGGTATATGTATATTATATATAATTTATAACACTTTATCCTTTTTCCTAGCATTTATTTAATAATTATTTGTTATAATAAAATCATAGACTTTACCAAGGGCTCGACAATTTCTTCACTCGTTACAACGTTCAGGTCGAGTACCTGGTGTTGTAGAGTTTGTTTATAGTTGTTCAAGATTTAAAATATACATACCAAAAGAAAGTATTAAAATAACCTTTATGCTTAGTGGTATACGTGGACCTAGGATCGGACACATCAGTAACGATCATAAATCAGATCCATTTGCACAAGAAGCGCTTGATTTTGCAACAAAAAAGGTGTTACAAAGAGATGTCGAGATTGATGTTGAGAATATAGATAAAGTTGGTAGTTTCCTGGGCACATTGTGGTTTAATAAGAATGACAACTTTTCCGTAAATTTGTTAGAAGAAGGTTTAGCGACCGTTCATGAATACAGTGCAGACCAAAGTCGTCATTCACAATCACTTTATAATGCTGAAAAAATTGCTAAACAAGCAAAAAAAAATGTTTGTATTAATATTAATATTATGGTTGATGACAATCATTGATTATTACTATTGTTAATATAATTAATGGTATTAATAATAAATTTATTTATTTATTGTTTATATAGATTTGGTCATTACAAGCACCAGAGTTAACTATTGAAAAGGAAAATACTGCAGAATCTGAAGTGAAAGGACCTCGTAAAGAGATTATCGATGTGGTTGTTAGTGAAATTATCTCAGGAGGGCATTTTTATATTCAAATAGACAATGATAATATTCGTAGTTTAGAGAAAATGATGGAAAGTTTTTCATTGTATCATAAAAATGCACCTAATACTCCAATTCAACCCAAAAATGGCGAGATTGTCAGTGCTCAATTCACTAATGACAACCAATGGTATGATATATGTAATTTGTTCTTTTCGTTGTTCCACTCCATAATTTTAATTTTTTATATTTATTGTAGGTATCGTGCAAAAATAAGAAAACAACTTAATGAATCAAAAAGTGTCGAAGTTGTATACATTGATTATGGCAATGTAAGTATTACTATTTTTTATTTTTATTTTATTTAGATTTTAATTATTTAATTATATAGTGGTAGTAATAGTAGTAATAATATTTGTATCTATGTTGTGTGTATATATGTGTGTATTTTTAATAGTCAGAAACACTTCCTTTGAGTAGGATTCGATCTATACCTGATGACTTCAAACAGTTATCAGCACAGTCACAAGAAGCAGTACTTTCGTTTTTAACTGTACCAGAACGAGAGGTAATAAAATATTTATTTTTTATCACAAAAAAATTATAATATTTATGTGTGTACTTATTTATTAATAGAAAGATTACGGTATCGAGGCGTGCGACAGATTTCATGATTTAGTCGGTGATAAAAAACTCGTTGCGAATGTAGATTATCGAGAGAATCAATTATTACATCTTACATTGTATGATCAACAGCCTAGTCAGCAATCAGATTCTTCTTACTCTATAGAAACATCAATTAATGCTGAGATGGTTCGTGATGGATTTGCATTTGTTAATAAAAAAGTTAGGTATGCTAGAAATAATGCTAGTTCAATTAAAAAATTGGAAGAGTTGTTAGAAGGCACCAAAAAAAATAGGGTAAGGTTTTTTTATTCTACTACCGCTAAATAACAATAATGATTAGTATTTTATTAATGAAAATTATTTTTTATTTTAGTTGGGTATGTTTGAATATGGTGATATTACTGGTGATGACGATTAATTCATTAAAATATACTATTTATTATTCATGTATTATATACAGTATTATTTTTTATTTTCTTAAAAAGATTCTTTATTTATTTATTTATTAAATTAAATATATATAGAATGAAAAGTTATAATCAAATAGAGAAACTAATTTATTATCCTATTAATTTTATCAGCCATTATAAAAATGCAGCTGGCCAAATTATTTTTAACACGTTTTATCCAAATAAAAAAAATATTAATTATCATCATAACATCTTCCACGATTGTAAAACCATCAATTCTTGTTTGTCATATGATTTTGTTTTTACTATTTCATTAGGAGAATGATTGCTTTCTTTTGAATCTAAAGATTACTTAATTTGATCAAGTATTTAGTGAGACGCAAAAATATATAGTAATAGGTAAAGACCTATTTGGCATTTCATTTTTTATATCAAATAAACATCAAACCAGCATATCTTACAATTATTGAATAATTGATGAACGTTTATTAGCATATTTTACAAAACTTTCTTTGCAAGTTTCGTGGGTCTTGTCCATACATGATGGCGAAAGTCATTTGATAAAATTCGAAACTTTCGAAAAAATCACACAAGTTTTCGAAATCGAAATA